TTTAGAACCAAAATAAGGCCTTTCACTCTTCCCCGACACCTATTCAAGAGATTGTACGGTGTATTGTTTGTTTTGTTCATGTGTTGTGGACAAAAAATGACCACGCCCATTTAGTGATTGCATTTATGTACGTAATAGAAACTGCACCCCGAACTTGAGCTTTTGATCCCAATTTTTAAATTGATACATTGTAATTTAAACCGCGGTTTATAATAGGACTTTAACGGTACTACATTGGGTTTGTTGTGAGCGGGAGACATGCTATGTGTTCATTATATCAAGAAATTCATTATAAAGGTGTTCATTATATTGAGGTTACAGTGTAACTGTGAATAATAAAAGGTTGTTAAAATGAGACTGTCAGTCTTGCATGCATTACCAAAAGACTTCATACGTTTTACTGGCTCTCTTTGGTAAGCACAATGTGTTGCCAATAAGACTGACCTTATTGTTGTGGCATGAAATGTATTGCCTACTTTACTGATATGTATCCAGAGCTGCTCTGTGGGATGACTTGGCATTCAGTTCTTATATTTAATTCAAACAATGTGTTGCAATGATTACTAAGCATAAATCCTGAACAACTCTAATTTGACTGACTTTGTTAAACCATAAACAAGACATACCATAAAATCTGTATTAGAAGCCGCATACCTAATAGAAGTCGTACCTATTCTTTTTAAACAATTGAGAATCAAAAATTCATTGTTTTGCATATGTGTAGATACTCTAATGGTAGCCGCATCCCCTCTGTTGCATTGTACCATTTTAATAGAAGCCACGGCTTCTAATACAGATTTTACAGTGCTAAAAGTGAGATTTGGTTCTGTTCGTCTATCTGTGTGACCCAATTGTTTGGAAATGTTTCTTGTGATATATATCTTCCAAAGACTACATTGTGTTCAGTGTTGTATCAATGTTGATTTATCTCAATATGGTTTTCTGACAGCCATTTTTGTCCCTGCACCCTATTGACTGTCATGTTTGGGTGAAAGATTTTTTATGTGCTGTGTATGTACTATATTTGTTCTCATAAAGGCATGTATTGAGTTAAAATTCTTTCAAATATTCCGATAACTTATTTTAACTGTAGACACATCACTCATTTACGCTAACTGTAAACTGACACTGAAAACCCAAAATAAAAATTCAATTACAGGCTCCAACTAAAAACAATCAAAAACACAAACTTAAAAACTAAGTCATTTGAGCAGCGTGAATGACTGAAGCAGCAGTTGGGTTGTTTGCTACAGTGAGTTTGGAAACAGATCCTGTTGATTATATCCAGTCATGTAGTGCAGGTCAATAAAACCTGACCACTGAGCTGTTTTTAACTCAAACTTTTGTTGTGATTAGTGGTGATGACTGTTTCAACTATACTGGTCAATGTTGTGGTTCTGTTCAGGAAATGTTTTGATATGTTGTGATACCACTGCTGGAATTTCTTTCATTCCTCTCAAATGAACTTTGGTTTGTAAAATCGCAAGCTATTTAAGAAACATTGACAGAGTATATGTTCTTAACAGCATAATAGAAAGATGTAAAATTTACTTCTAGTTCTGATGCTAAAATGCTAAAATAGGAGTTGACAATCGCCTTGTAATATAGTAAATTATGTTATGGGGAAAATGTTGTTAGATTCATTATGGCTGTGAGTGACTTTTGCTGGGGTCCTAGGGAGTCACAGTGACTTTCACTAGGGTCCTAGGGAGTCACAGTGACTTTCACTCGGGTCCTAGGGAGTCACAGTAACTTGGGTGAAATTTCATTCTAAATAAGTTACAGCCGGCACATTGTAAACTTGATTTGAGTTTTCATGAGCAATCATAAATACCAGCAAACAATCTTATACACAAAATTTACTTCCATGAAATGACGCCTACTGTCAGGGTAGTCAGGTACATGCGTCTTGTATGTATGTACTAATGATGTGGTTTTTCCATTACAGGTGATATAATTGTAGAACCAGTGTCAATATTACCATCTCCTCCCCCTCCTCCTCCACCTCCTCTTCCGCTTCCACCGGTTACTACGTTAACAACACTGCCAACACTGTCACTTCCAAAGGAAATAAAAGAGGTTAGTTTCTTGTTTCACAAGTACCCCTTACAAGTGTCATGAAGTCTGATACATTCCTATATCATCTTGTTATCCCATCGACATCCATAGCAGTTACTTCATGCTTTGGAGAGTGATCTGACAACATTTTGAGCGTCTATAGTGCGTTTTTGTGGCCACCTACAGATAGTGCTCTTTCATGTGTAGTTTTTGTGATCAACACTAGAGGGCAGTATGTCATGAATCTATGTTCATGATCAAATATTGGCGCCCTCATACTATAGGAATGCTAAGACTTGGTTGATCTTGTGAGGAAGAATACTGTATTTGCTCAGTTAAAAGCACACATATAAAACAAAAATAACATTTGTTGTATTCTGGGTCTATTTAGTGTAAACACCTTTATTTTTGCTTGCAACTAATTTTACCTTTTTTTCCTATACTTTACATTCAACTCATCAAAAATCTGTGAAAATAAATTCCATGCAAAACACCCAAAAAGTGTTCTCAGCGAAAATTAATTCCAGCTAAAATAATATATTTTACAATAATCATAGACACACCTCTATCTTTTATTTAAGTGTCTACGCTATTAGTAGAGCAAATACAGTATTGTGTCACCTACATGAGCATGTGTGCATGGCTTGTGATAATTCATTTTTAAACAAACTTGAAATAATAGTAATTGAGTTTCAGTGGACAAGTATTTGAATAAAAAAAAAATAGCTACATTAAAATTATATAACACACTTACAGGATTGTCCCAAGTGATATTTCATTAAAAGAATGCTCAGTGCTGATATGAAGGTCTACTTATATGTCTGTTTGTGCAGCTGTTTTCATCATACCAGATTCATTTCATAGTTATAGTAATAAATCACTGTTGCTACTAGCAACACAGTTTCAGACATTGTCTCGCTTGGAGATTTAGTGATTTACGATATGCGTACTGTTACAGGAACTACAATAGAAAATATTTGGTCTAGTCCTCGTGCAGGAGAAAAGTTTGTTTTATAAGGAAATAAACTATGGCTCATTATCTCTTGACTTTGTGCTGTAAAAACAACTAAAATGATAATTTGGCCCAGACTTTTTATGTAGACTTCAAATTAGTTTAGCATGATTTTCAACAAAGTAGTACACCATTTTTGTAAGTTGTGCCCGTCTTTAATATATTTCTGTGCAAAGGATGTTCACCGCATCTCTGCTTTGATTTTAATCACCCATTAAAAATACGTTTTTGGCTGTATTATAAAAACAGAATGTTTGTATAACTAAACAAAGAAGGTGCTCCTTATTGAAAGGATGTAATACACCTTTCCAATAAATCTCGCCCTCTAGTGACAGTATCAATTTAATCTGTAGTCCATCAATAAAGGTTGTTATCGAGGAAGGAACATCTACACAACCAAACAGTTGTTTGTTCTAAACAATATTTCTTTTCACCATATACATCATTTAGACTTCACTTTGTCACTAGAGGGCGTCATTTATAGTAAAAATGTAAAAAAGCATGTTTAAAAAATTCTTTGTCATAGTCTCTTAAAGTTATCCATATCCTTCAGTCATGCATAAGTTACTCTGAAACTTTTATCATCTCTGAATACCCGTTTAGTTTTACACTCACTCAATTTCACCATTTGGCTTTACTTTTGTGAAAAATCAGTTTCACAGACATTTTTTTCTGCAAATTTTTCATCTGTAGATTAACTTCATTTGACTAACACCATCTGTTGTTCGTGTAAGATTCAGATATTCACTGACCTTTTCAGTTTGATTTTTATGTTGGATTTGTGCAGAACCTCAACGGTGTGGAGACAAATTCAACAACGTCAAATGGCAGCTCAGATCCGTGGAAGTGCTCCAACTGCAATCACGTATTCAGTACATTTGCACTCTTAGAAGAGCACGTCTGTGATTCGAAACCGCCGAAGCGGCGTGGAAGGAAACTAAAGCGAGGCAGAAATTCGTTGGTGCTTCGAATGGAACGAAAGAAAGAAGTTCGAAAGTTGAAGAAAAACAAAGGTAAGAGTTCACGGTTGACGCCGGATAGGAAGACGTTCAGCTGTGAAGTTTGCGGCAAAGTGTTCCTGAATCCAGAGAAACTGAAGACACACACTTACACCCATACTGGTGAAAGACCATTTCAATGTTCATATGTAGAATGTAAGAAGGCATTTGTTTCTAATTATAAACTGATGCGCCACATGGCGACACATTCGCCCCTTAAAGTACATACATGCAGTTACTGCGACAAGAAATTTCACCGTAAAGACCATCTCAAGAACCACCTGCATACCCATGATCCTAATAAGGAATCATTCAACTGCAAAGAATGTGGCAAAGTGTACAACACTAAACCAGGTTTTCGCAAACACATTGCGCTGCACGCCGCCGCCGCTGGGGACCTTACTTGCAAGATTTGTAATAAAGATTTTGAGAGTACAGATATATTGTTAAATCACATCAAGGTCCATTCTGGTAAATCGAATGGTGTCAAGGAGAAGAAGCACAAATGTGAGCACTGTGATCGGCGCTTTTACACTCGCAAAGACGTGAGACGACATCTCGTTGTGCACACCGGGAGGAAAGATTTCCTGTGCCAGATATGCGGGCAAAGATTTGGACGCAAAGATCACTTAGTTCGGCACAGTCGGAAAAGCCATAGTGGAGAGTCCGGTAAAAACCGACTAACACCGATCAACCTACAACAAAGCCTTCTGCCTGTTGTAACGTGTACTAATGACACACAGTTAGTACAGACAACGCTACCACCACCGCCTCCTCCTCCTCCGTCACACCCTCCTCCACCACACCCCCAACAACTTCAGCAAATACAGTTCCAACTTCAACCTCTTCCTATCAGGATACCTCCTCCCCCTCCCCCAAAGCTGCTCAATAAGCTTTTACAGTCTCCTACATGTACCATGCAAAACAGTTTTGTTAACACAACTTTCATAGATACAATTTGTTCTACTAGCTCGATGAACACAATTGACACTATCAATACTATTAATACAATTAACTCACTTAATCCCACACAATGCATCAACGCCTTTGATGCCCTGCAGACCAAACTCAGACCTCCAACTAAAGCTGCAACTAAAATCTATGATGTAAAACCCCCTGTTATACCTCCTAAAGTCGCGCTGGAAGTGTCTGTGGAGACGACCAACAACTTGGATGATACAAAGGGGCCTGCTGTGATTACGGAACCTGTCAATGCAAGCACGGTGGATCTCGGCCAGTTGTTGGGTTTCTTGCCACTTAATGCCGGTCAGCCGACACTTCAGCAGCCGTCACCCCCTCCCCTTCAGCAGCCATCGCCGCCCCTCTCACAACCATCACCGCCAATACCGGTCCAAACAACGTGCATGTCGCCCACTACCTTAACGCTTTCAACTCAGGCTATAAGCCAGGACTGTGAACCGATAAGTCCAGACGGAGGTTTACAACGGTTACAGAATGCTACTCTGACGCAGATAGCTTTCTCCACACCACTCCAGTCTCTACCCAGGTTCCACCAAGCATTCCAATAGTAAATAATTTACAAACCAACTATTCAACCAAAGAATTTCCAATCTGACCAGTTGACTGCCATGAATTTCAACATTTGGACCTCGTTCCCAACCTTAATAAAAATTTTAACATTTGTTGTGGTTTTAAATTGTCTTAGAAAGCGATTGTGAAATCTGATTCAAATTTGATATGTCCTCAGCACTTATTTCTCTTGCTACAAGAAATCTGAAAGCATTTTCGTCTGTATTTTCAGTCTTAGTTCCTTTCATGTCTATTGTGAACTTAGCAGGTACATGTGATGTCATTTTGCTGTAAACTACCTCATGTTGTTTTTATGTTCATGCCGATTAGCTCATTCTGAACCCCCTGTCAAGTCGATGGAAGCTGCCAGACTGTCTGCAAAACAGTTGAAACCATTCTTTGTTGGGGGTGTCAGGTTTTTAAAAATGGGGTTGGTGGTTGTGATTAGTTGCAGGTTCATTGAATCACTGTTTATGATTAGTGTTTAGAGTGTGATCGTCAGGGATAATCATGTGTAGTAGATTTTTTAAGAAAAGAAAAAACAAACAAATATATGTGGCAATCATGTTTTTGTGGATGTGTGTTAATATAACCATCAGGGAAGACGTTGAGAAATGAAATGCCTAGTTTAGAGAAATTTTTTTAATATATATAGATAGTAACAGTGTAGCGATTTTATTGACGCAATTGATGTGAAATTTTGCCGAATATTATGGTGCTGTCTTGCTTATATGTCCTGTTGTTGTGTTGTGATTTTACGACCAATTTTTTATTTGATTATGAATCCACTGACTCCTACACAATGTACAACTGTTGGATCGCTCGTTATTATGTCCAAGTTACCTAGCTAACTGGAAGCTTCCTGTACGAAATGATGCAAAGCATTTTTACAACTGTTCCTCCAATGAATTTAGGTTGGTGTGATTCCAAGACGACAATGACACTGTAGACATTTTCACTCTCGTTAGTCATAACCTCATTTGTCACAACAGTGAAATTCTTCAAAACAGTCACACATATTCACACATATATTTGTGAAGCCAAGTTGATAGGTATACTTGGATAGACAATCTGCCAATACTTTTTTTTTTATAAACATACAAAGGGTGCAGATTATTCACTACCCGTGATTGCAACTACTACCCCGGTAGTACAGTATGCACTAAAATTGGAGTATGTATAAGAAATTTACATACCAATATTTTAATAAGAAATACAAGTTATAATTAAGACAGGATTTGTATGGGCTTGCATTCTGTCAATCATATCACTCTGGGGTATGGTTGCTAAATGTAAACACATCTCGGGGCCCTAGAACCATGATTATCCAAAAACACAAATGGAATTTTTTAAACGACCAGCTGTGAGTTTCCACATAAAAACTTTACACATACATACTGGTTTGACTAAATTTGAAATTATATAATCACGTTTGTTTGAGTGTTCTCTGATAGTCTAACTGTTCAACTCCCCGTAATATAACGGCGACACTGAAGTTATTATTTATTTATTTATTTTGTAATAATTTGCAATTATGAACTTTAATTAATATATACCGGTATATATGATTCTAACACTGTACTTTACATAAGCATGGGTGCTTTTAACAGAACAAGTATGTTGTTATTGGCGCCATGTCTGTTTCATTTAGATAAAGAAAAGGTTATTGGCAGTTGGATAAAAAAAAAATTCAAGGTGGGACTAGTGGATTCTAAACAAATTAGAAAGAAGACTTAAAAGAGTATCAAGTAAAATCATAGTCGGCAAGATTATGTTTGTGTAAATTACTCTTACATTTTGTATAGTACAAAATTTAAAAAAACTAAACTGAATTTTAGAATGTTTTTGAGTAGAACTTTCTGCATGTACAGACTTCTGCATACACTGAATGTTTTTTATGCAGTTTGAAAACATAGTAATTTTATTTTAGATTGTAGACTTGTTTTTCATCACCATACTATTATTGTGGAAAAGTAATATAATACCTACCAAAGATTTTTATTACTATTATAATGTATAAAAAAGTGTTTCATTACTGTTTTTTTTTTTTTTACCTTAAGAGATTTCACTTGTTTGTTATCTGTATAATATATTTATTTTCATTGTATTTGTCCATTTATGTTTAAAGAGATGTGCAAATGTTTTTTTTTCACACATTTGTAGTTTAATTTTTTACCAACAGAAGCCATTTATTAATTTATCCTAAAAAAGACACTTTTTTTTTTTTTGCATCATTGCCAAACGATGTTATTGTTGCATTATTTCTTCACATTTTTCCTATTTATTTGTGGCTGACTTTGCATTTTCTCTCTGCCTCACTCTTTGAGGTAGGTGCCAATTTAATTTTAAGTATAATTTTCTCCCTTACAAATCATGCCTATCCCCACCCCTTATACAAATCGAGATGACCAAAACTAACATGATGGTAGTTATGATGGTCGCATCAACCATTTGTTCGACAGGGGTGGGTAGGTCTGATAAAATTTGTTCATTCTAAAATATATTGTAGTGCAATATTGTGAGTACAATGGCCACTTTTCTACTATCTTAAATCAAGATAGAATCGAAAGCACTGGTTCTGTATTTCTGCTTGCCACAAAGAGGATGACAGTTTCACCCAATTTCACCACCTTCCCAATAAAAAAAGTTGCGAATACTTCACTGCCAGTGATTGTCAAGTCTGTGAGAAACAATGAAAATGTTTTACCGATGACTTTGGGCTGTTGTTCCATGCTGCCCTGTTATTAGCAATGTATAAATTCACTGCCTTTTTTTCCCCCAGTGATGCTATTTTAATAAATGTTGAATGAAAACAAATTTTAAAAATCTAAATTAGAGAAAATTTGGATGATATGTTTGGATTCTTAAAAGCAGCATTTTAAATTACTTTACATGACGTGAATACAACTATGCAGAATGTGATTTTTTTAATTTTTTCAGCAAAATAAATTCTTGCTGCACAAACTTGTTTTTTTAGACCTTGTGAGCCTGTGGTCGTTAAAAAGTTTTAAATACCTATTCTATGTGTCAAGTCGCACCTTGCTCGTCTGATTCCTAGAATTGTTGAAATTGATTTCTCTGTGACCATTTATAATAAATACGCCTCAGAGCCTCGATTTGAATCAGAATAGCAGGGGACCCTCTACATACGAGTGGGGTCAGTGTCATTCTCGTAGTGGTGGTAACGTAGTGTAACGTTGTAATATGCAGGAAAACTTGATTGTCTGTCTGTCTCCGTGTTGAGAATCGACAGAGGTCTTTGGTGTGGTAAACTATAAAATAAATTTTAGAAGTGACCCTGTAGTAATGAACTTTGACCTCTGCGTGTCCTAGGTATCTTTAATAGAAACTGTGGTAGCCCGTTCAGTGTTGAGGGGGCTATACCATGTCATTGCAATAATGGAATCTTCCAATTATAATTACTCTTAATTACAATTCTTAGTGTTTTCAATGATTGGTAATTTTAGATTGCCCAGGTTCTGTAAATTTCTTTGTAATTTTGTGCTTTAGACTTGGTGCGCTGATGTTATATCCCCAAAACAAAACGACCTTGAACTGCGACTGCGGCAAAATTGTTTGGATTGATTGATTGATTGATTTGTACCAATCAAGTACTGTACTATGTGGCAGTTAGACAACATGTTGCAACCATCATAATTTATATTAATAGATGAAATATTAAATACCTTTTGATTATGTGGAAGATAAAAAGCAACATCTGAGCTGTTAATTACGTGTCATGGTGCCAGACAGCAGCATTGTATGAATAGTACCATATTTCCTATAGAAGTGCACACAAGCCAAAAACTTGTTCTTTACTACATTGGACAAGCAACAACTTCAAATAGTCTTTTTGGGCTTCAAGTCTAAACAGTTTACATGACATTCTTTCATTCGAAATAATTCCCATTTATGATTAAAGTGATAAAAATTATACAAATGTCAAAAGAATGGCACTAAAATAAACACATTGCCTTAATCGTGTGTACTTTTATTATAAAAAAAAAAAAATTAACACAGAATTTTCCTGCCATGTCGCCTCGGTCAGTTCAAGGTCGGTTTGCTTGTATACTGAGTTATAACAGTGTACTTTTACTGTCGCTGCTTTGTATAAAGCTATCCAAGTCTATGGTTCGTACATAGCTATGTAAATGCAGTCAACATACCGTAGTACCTCCACCTATCCCAAGTGTACCCATGTGTGCTCCAGCATTATCTACATATCCACTCAGATTTGACAATTCTCTTGAATGATTATATTTCAGCTTATTACCAGTGCAATTCTATTTTTCAGCCCGTACCTTGCCTTACATTGTTGCAATACAGATTGATAATCATGAGTACCTGTCAGGTGATACCATTTCTTAGTAGGGGTGAAGAGGGTTGTAAGCTCCTCGCGATTGGTTGCTGGACTGTCTGAAATTTTCACTTTAGCATTTGCCTGTTTGCCCATGACACTCTTAAAGTTTTTATTATTATATTTAAATTATGAAAAGAAAATTTACATTATGCGTTTTTGTTATGCAATACTGATTGTGTGTTTTCACATAAAATGCCCCAAATCTTGGTCACATACAATTGCTGGTTTCCATTATGACAGTCTGAGGAAAATTTAAAATCGGTGAGTTGTTTGCATCTACTATTACCCTTAGCTCGTAATCTAAGAACAACTTGGTGATAGAGTACTGGAAACATTGCTTTCTGCCGTTCATACTCAAATAGCTACCTTCCCTCTCCAATCTTAAATGGTATCACCTACTATACATCCTTGTGGATTGTAGTCTATTTTACTTCATTGTGTTCTCTGATCTGAGTTCCATCCAACTAGTTTTCTATTTTAAGTACACTACTGTATGACTGTAGGCTTAACCATGATGTGACACCATATCTATTGGTGTTTAATTTTGTAGTTTGACTCTCCCTATCTACCTTACCTGTAATTCCTGCCTTTCACTTCATTGTATGATATCTTTATTGAAATTAAATGAATCATGTAAAT